CCGGGGGCGGGGGCGGGGCCGCCGGGGCGCCGGCTCCCCCCGCCGCGCGTCGCCTGCGCCCGCAGTTCTAAGCGCCGCGGACCCTCCGCAGATCGTTCAAATGCAAATCGCTGAGACTGTGTTATGCACCTCGGATCCGGTCTAGAAGACGTCCCCCTTCGCCCGCCAAATTTGTTCCTGCTCTTTCTCCAGGGGTCTGCAAACTCTGGTTTATGCCTTCACCCCCAGCGATCCGACCCCAAAGTGTATCGCCGCGCTCCTACTGTGCGCAGAGCGAGCAGCAAAGGGGAAATCGAGGAAGTAGGGAGCGGGGAGGGAAAAAGCAATTCCCAGCTCTGTGCGCCGGCAGCGGCAAGCGGCCAGGGAACTCCCGGACTAAGAGGCTGATGTGGATTGGGCCCCCACTGCGGGCAGGAGCTGGCTCTGCTTCGGGTCGCGCCTGCAGAGACGGACCAGGAAAACAGGCGAGGAATACAATGAGCGATCTGCTGCATCGCAGGGGGTAAATATTGGGGCGGGGATATGCGCAGGGGGTAGATGAGGCAGCTTGGATGGCTTCTCGGAGAGTTGACTTTGCGCTGCACCTAGCTGTCTCCCGCGCCCACAGCCGAGCTGTTGCAGAGCGCTTTGGAGGCTGGAGCCCGGAGGAGGAAAGAAAAGAGGTGAATGCTGCCCCCTGATTCCTCTAGTCTAGCACAAGCTGTTCGAATGAATGAACACAAGCGTACATGCAAGCCTCAATGACTTATTTTCTCTTCTTCTGCCTAAAATTCGACCTTCCAGACCACTCGGGACTCCTAGGCCCTCGCACAGCGCGCGCGCCTAGAGCCTCCACAGAGGCGGCTTCGGGAGTGGTAAGGCCATAAGCGGTTTCAAGCTCGCCCACAAGAGGGCGCCAGGCCCACCTTCCCCCTTTCGCTGACCCTGTGCCGTGGAAGGAGAAAGGTTGCAAGCCTCGCTGTCTCCTCTGCCCTGGCACTCCGGTGGAAGCGCTTCAGGAAAGTTCTAGAGCGGAAAAGGCGCCTGCGACTGTGATCACGGCAACACAAGGAGGGGTCGTCTTTTGTCCTCAACTTGAGGGAGAGAGGTCCCCCTAGCTCCTCACCACGAAGGTTGGGAGGGACTCTCCTAGGGATGTGGGTTATAGGGAGTGCTTTACCGCACAGTGGAGACTCACTCTTCAAAGTCGACCTTACCTGCCCCAGTACCAGCCCCTTGAGGTTACCTAGGAGCCCCTCCCTGTCCCTTTACTTGCCCTGCAGCTGGTGAGGGACTTGTCCTGACCCCCTCGGGCCCTGCTCTCTGTCCATCCTCAGCCTGTCTGGCCCCAGGCTGTCTGGGGAGGTAATGTTTTGTTTGTTTGTTTGTTTGTGGGGCATCGACAGCCCTCCCCCATCCACACAGCTGCTGAACTGCTGACCTCGGAGCTGGTCACATACAGCTCATGCTCTTCACACCAGGTTCATCCCGTTCTGACAGAGCAGCAGCCAGGCTCCAGAACTGCCTGAGGCCCCCCCACCCCCAAGACCAGGAGTATCCTGGGGGGGAGGAAGAAACTCCTTAGCCCAGAGACTGATTCCCAGGGGCCCTCTTCTGCCCCCATATGCCAGGCCACCCGGATTCTGGTTTCTCTGTTACCCAATCTGGCCAGTCCCCTCCATATGGCCCCAGAATCAGGTTTCCCAGGGCCCAGTCCTGCTTAGACTGCCTACAAGACTCTAAGGAGAAGCAAAGACTGGTCCTGGCCCACCCCTCTTGCCCTCTCTGGGCCTGAACCCCCTCATGGAGCTAGGGAGGCACATTCCTCAGGCTTCTTAAGCCAGCTTATCTGTCCCCTGCCCATCAGCCCAGTGCTGACAGAGGCCCAGATCCTTGTTTGGACTTTGATAACCTCCTGCGATGGCCCTCCCCCACCTGCGGGACTGGAAAAGGGCTGGTTTTGGGAGGTCCCCTTCCAGCAAGGCATTTGGGGCCCAGGTCCAGTCCTGGCCCAGTACCCTGAGAATAGCAGATCCCACATTTCCCCACCCTCCCTCAGGCCCAGGGCCACTAGTGATACTGCCACAGTGCCACCTGGTGGTCCCTAGGGAAACATCACCCAGCGCAGGAAAAAGCCACACATGTGTTGCAAAAAAACTCACGCCGTTTTATTTTAACTTTTATCCAAAAATGTAAAAAAAAGTTAAAAATGCGTAGCTCCAAGCTTCAGACACTGACCCCCAAGCCTCAAAGGCAGGTGGGGACAGAGGATCAGGACAGAAGTTCAGGGTTCCTCCCACCATCAGAGACAAGGGAGGCTTCCAGGCATGGTGTAGGACAGAACAGGAGGGCCCTCAGGCCTCCTCCTCCTCCTCCCAGCACCTGCCCAAGTCCCTCCCACACAGCCCCAACCTCTCCTCTTCAAGGAAGAAACATGTAACATTCTTGAAACTTGTCCAGGAACCTGGTGCATGGCACACACAGCGGCAGGAGGACCTGAGAACGAACAAGGGGTCAGCACAGGCCCTCCCTGCCCCTCTGTCCTGGCAGAGCCTGATGGGCGCCCTCTCCCCTGCTCACCAAGCACAGTTAGGGCCTGCCCGTCTGCTTTTTGGCAGGAAGAATGGAGCACAACTCAGCTTCCTCTTCACTCCCCTCCTCCTCGCTCTCCTCTTCCTCAGAAACATCGTTGCTTATAGTGACTGGTGGACACACAAGCAGTAGCAGGAGATGGAGGGTAAGGCCAACCTCTGCATACCCCAACAGGTGCTCAGGCCCTGTGGCACTAGGCTTGCAGGGACCCTGAGCTCCCAGAGCTGTGGCCTAGGTGGGAAGGACCTCAGATACAAAACTGGGTGACAAAGTGCCAAAGAAATCCCTATCCCGGGAACCGAAAAGACTGGGTAAAGTTTCTGGAGGCAGTCTTTTTTTTTTTTTGGAGAGGTTTTTGTGGTAGGGCACCTGCACTAGCCTGAAAGACAGAGAGAGACAGAGAGACAGAAAGCGAGAAATCACCCCCTCAGGGGGAATGGCGACACCGCAATCCCTTCTCCTCCATTCTCCTCTCGGCATCTTGGGTATGCACGTGCACGCGCCCGGTGTGAGTTTAAGCCACCGGATCCGGGGCTCGAACCTTGGTCGACTAAATGGGAATCCAGCGACATAGCCATTACACTAACTGCTGGAACCTCTGGAGGCAGTCTTGAGTAGAACAGAAAGTGATGGTCACAGCCTGAGAGGTATCGGCCCTGGACAGGGCTGTACAGAGGCGGGATGGGGCAAGGGTATGGAATTGTGGGAAGGGGCTGATGGACGGTCCCTGGGAGGAAGAGGAGAGGGCCCTCCCCGACTCTCACCAATCTGGTGCCGCCCAGTGATCCGCACAGGGCCAGAGCCTGACTTCAGGCGGAAGGTAACAGGTGGTTGGAGCTGGAAGTCATCCAGACTGAGCTGAAAAGAAACAAGGATGAAGGCCGGGCCACCTCACCCTGTGACAACTCCGTAAGGCCTCAGTGCCATCCCCTCCCTGCCATCCAAGGTATGGCTAGGCAACTCACCATGGGTTGGCAGGACAACCTGAGGTTGGCCACAGGGACTGCAATCTCCTCATGGTCATGGTTGCGGGCCACGACTTCCACCACATTACACTCGTCCTTGGCCCCCTCGGTGAGGCAGAGCTAGGGAGGGCGCACAAGGCCTCAGGGTCTCCTCCAGCAAGGGTGGTACAAGAAGAAGCATGTGCCCAGCATCAGAGGCCCCTGGATCACCTGCCCGCTCACGTTGGGGTTAGGCCGAGGAGGTGACGCCCAGTAAAGGAAGGGTTGGGGTGCAGAGAGGCCCACTAGCTGCCAGCCCTGGTGCCCACCACCGCCCAGCACCCCACCCCCTCACCATGGTCAACGCCAGCACGTGCTCCGCATCATCCTCTTCCTCTACCTTGAAGGTGAAGGAGCGGGTGTTGCCGGAGAGCTCGCAGCCTGGGAGAAACGGTGTGAATATGCGCGTGTGCGCGGAGGGCCTTTCACTAGCACCCCCACCCACACACCCGTCAAGTACAGCCGCGGTCAGACGCCATTAACGCGCCCACCACACGTCGGTTTCAGGGCACCGGTGCTGGACCCTGGGCCCGGCTCCGCCCCCTTCCACCCGACCCGCACGTTCGCGGACCCTCCTGTGAGAACTGCCGAGCACCCCGTCGCCCGCACCCACCCGCGTCGTGCAACTCTGCATTTCTGCTCTTCCTCCCGACCTCTCGGCGCCCCAGCACCACCCCCCGCCCCTCCTTTCCCCTGTACCGAAGAAAAAGCTGTCCATAGTAACCGGAGCCGGGACCCGCAAACCCCCGACACGGGCTCGGCTTTCCTGACTCAAGAACGCCAAGGCAGCAGCGGTGCCGGCGGGGGCCGTCTCCAAGCCCCGCCCCCGACACGTACGAAGCTAGAGCCCCTCGGCCAGTTCCGGCCCCGCCTATTAAAGGAGACGCTCACTCCTGAACGAAAAGGCGCGGCACCGGTCCAGGGCGAAGCCGGTCAGGACCTCCTAGGAGCTCGCCGCCTCGGCTCTGATCCGGGTCAAGTCAGCAGAGAGGAAGTAACAGCACAGAAGCATGGATTGCGGGTGCATGTTAATGTCTTTGCCTATTTCCACGACCAGGAGGGAGTCCATTTTCTCCAGCTTCTCTCGCGCGCTCTCCCAACCTCAGAATAACCTGTTAAGGTGGGGGAGGAATACATTTAAAAGTATGAATCTTTTTCTCCTCTAACAAAGGAGGAG